ATGTGCTGTGTTCTATTCCATGATCATAGATTATTATAGAACTTGATCTCTTACCATTTGTATAGTACATATACTTGTTTTATTTCTATATTTTATTTAAATATTGGTGCATTTTATTATTATTATTTTTTGAGCATTAAAAAAACTTTGTGGCAGCAAGAAGCTATTGATTTTTATATAGTTATGATTTTAATTATACACTGTACACTATTTTAGGAATACTAAACGCTTTCTCTTGTACTCCTGATATGAATAAAGGAAATAAAATTTCAAACTTATAAGTATCTCTTTTTCTTAGCTCGACTATAATGTTATCCTACTCATTACCATATGTACATCCCAATTTTGTACAATGAAATATTTTTACCATATCACAAAGTGCTCATGCCAGATCTAGACATAAAACCTTCCATATTTTTGTAAGCATAATGTCTGTGGACTGCCACAATTTCTTCAAACAATATTTCTTCCTAAACCACTGCAGATTTTGACCAAACTGCACAGGAATGAATATCGGATAACCATCATGAAATATAAATACATGTTATTTAATAAGAGAGTGATACAAGTAAGTTCTTTTATCCCTAGACCTGACATTGACATCTTAGACTTGTTCAATGAGACGGTTACGTGACATATTACTCCGTTGAATGGGACAGTGACCTGTTTGCCTTAGATCTAGAGCTGGCATTGACATCTTACTTTTGTTAAATGAGACAGTGACATGTTTATGTTGTCACTAGATTTGACATTGACATCTTACCCTCGTTAAATGATACAGTGACATGTTTGTGTTGTCACTAGATCTGACATTGACATCTTACCCTCGTTAAATGATACAGTGACATGTTTGTATTGTCACTAGATCTGACATTGACATCTTACCCTCGTTAAATGAGACAGTGACATGTTTGTGTTGTCACTAGATCTGACATTGACATCTTACCCTCGTTAAATGATACAGTGACATGTTTGTGTTGTCACTAGATCTGACATTGACATCTTACCCTCGTTAAATGATACAGTGACATGTTTGTGTTGTCACTAGATCTGGCATTGACATCTTACTTTTGTTAAATGAGACAGTGACATGTTTATGTTGTCACTAGATTTGACATTGACATCTTACCCTCGTTAAATGATACAGTGACATGTTTGTGTTGTCACTAGATCTGACATTGACATCTTACCCTTGTTAAATGATACAGTGACATGTTTGTGTTGTCACTAGATCTGACATTGACATCTTACCCTCGTTAAATGATACAGTGACATGTTTGTGTTGTCACTAGATCTGACATTGACATCTTACCCTTGTTAAATGATACAGTGACATGTTTGTGTTATTACTAGATCTGACATTGACATCTTACCCTTGTTAAATGATACAGTGACATGTTTGTGTTGTCACTAGATCTGACATTGACATCTTACCCTCGTTATATGATACAGTGACACATCTCCTCTTGGTATTAATGTTTCCCATAAAGTTTAATTGAATTCAAGCCAGTAGTTGCAGAGAAGTTGCGCGGAAACAATTATTACTTCAAGGGCCATAACTCTGATGTAAAGTGTCTGACCAGAACACGCCAACTATATGGCATATCCTCTTGATATTGATGATTCCCATAAACTTTTGTTGAATTCCAGCCAGTAGTTGCAGAGAAGTAGCGCAGAAACGAATATTGTTCTGTATGTATACCGCAAAACTAATCAAGGGCCATAACTCCTAGTTAAAGTGTCTGACCGGAACAAGGCGATGATATGCGCATCTCCTTTTGGTATTGAAGGTTCCCATAAAGTTTCATTGAATTCCAGCCAGTAGTTGCAGAGAAGTTGCGCGGAAACGAATATTGTTCTAAATGCATATTGCATAATTTATCAAGGGCCATAACTCTGAGTAAAAGTGTCTGACCGGAACAAGGCGACGATATGCGCATCTACTCTTGGTATTGAAGGTTCCCAAAAAGTTTGGTTGAATTCCAGCCAGTAGTAGCAGAAAAGTAGCGCGGAAACGATTTTTACTCTATATGCATACTGCATAACTAATCAAGGGCCATAACTCTGAGTTAAAGTGTCTGACCGGAACAAGGCGACGATATGCGCATCTCTTCTTGGCATTGAAGGTTCCCATTAGGTTTCGTTGAATTCTAACCAGTAGTAGCAGAGAAGTAGCGCGGAAAAGATTTTTCCTCTATTTGCATACTGCATAACTAATCAAGGGCCATAACTCTGAGTTAAAGTGTCTGACCGGAACAAGCTGACGATATGCGCATCTCCTCTTGATATTGATGATTCCCATAAAGTTTCGTTGAATTCCAGCCAGTAGTAGCAGAGAACTAGTCTGGAAACCAAATTCGGACGGACGGACGGAAGGACGGACAGACGGGCAACGCCAAAACAATATCCCCCTCCCGATTCCATCGGCGGGGGATAATTAGGCCTTTTCAATGGTCCCCGTCATCTTTTATAAAAGTCATGTCGACATGCCCGGATACAGATGTTGTCAAGACTATATTTTACTTCATCAAAACAATGATAAAACACGTCATGTCTAACATGATCACATATTCAAGCTTCCATAACCATTACATTTCATGATTGAGATCGGGATACGGACACTCAGATCGGGAAACGGACAAAAGCCCTCCCGTCCAAAAATGACAAGGCGGACAAAAGCGTTCCCGTGAAAATGACAGGGCGGACAAAAGCCCTCCCAAGAAAATGACAGGGTGGACAAAAGTCCTCCCGTGAAAATGACCGGGCGGACAAAAGCTCTCCCGGGAAATTAACAAGGCGGACAAATGCCCTCCTGTAACAAAAATAAATATGTATGTAAAATAGCTGCTATTTTTCAATGCAATTAACATACAATGTATTAATATTGTAAGTTGTAACACATATATTTGTAGTTGTTTTCAATTGGCCTAAGTATGTGTATGAGCTAAAATCACCTATCATTAAGAATATTCTTTTCTGAAAAGTTTAACGAGGTAACACGAAAGTTGTTATAAAACAAAGTCACATTTTAAACGTTACATTATAAATGTCTTGGACTTTTAATTACATTTAATTTTAACTTTTTTCATCATGTATTACTCTATTAATCTTAACTTCTAATGGGAACAATCCTTTCATATTTACGTGAATAAATATGCACTTAAAGATTTTAGCACTTATTATTCAGATGCCTTATACTCATTCAAACACGCAAATGCAAATGAAAAACAAAATATTTATGATTACAATTGTAATATGTTGAGTGCATTGAAGAGAAAAAAAACTATTCAAAGTAGATATATGTATTGCTTTGGGAGGGCTTTTGTCCGCCCTATTACATGAATTTTTACGGGAGAGGTTTTGTCCGTCCGGTCATTTTCACGAGAGGACTTTTGTCCGCCCTGTCCTTTTCATGAGAGGGCTTTTGACCACCCTGTCATTTTCACGGGAGGGCCATTGTCCGCCTTGTCATTTTTGGACGAGAAGGCTTTTGTCCGGGAGGGCTTTTGTCCTACACTCATTGAAATCAATTGTCACGGAGAGAGTTTGGCTTCTCCCAAAGAAGGAATCAGCGTTCACTGGGATCAATGTATGCGAGATAATGGCTAAATATAGATGTTTTGTATCTATTTAGCCATGCATACATAATATAAGTGTTGTGACGAAAAATATTTGATAACTATAAAGATTGTATAATACCTATGTAATATTTAAGGAGGCCTATACTAACGACTGATTGTTTTAGAGATTTTAATATTATTACGTCATCTGTGAAACATTTTTGATTTCCTACATAAAGTTAAATATTCTAATTTTAAGTAAGTGTTATTACATTGATGATATATTCACCAATACGTTACAGCTGATTTGATTATTTGATATATATTTAAAACTCTTTGTAAAATGATGAATTTTTCGCCTTTTTAAAGTGTGTAGCAAAATAAAGTTAATTTCTTGAAATAGATATTTGAAATAACAGAACATTTGAGCATAACAGAACAATTGTTGTACATTTTGTGTACACAAAAAACAATCGTTGAATGATATGTGTATGGAACTTTGATAAACTTGATAATGTATCAATCTGAGAAAACGTGCGTTTAGTGTCAATTTACATGCATAATATGTGCAGTTCAAATAAGGTCAATATACAATTCGAAATTTAAAATTTAATCTTAATTTTATCGTATTCTATGTTAGTTATGTAGATACATTTGTCGATTGTTTGAGTTGATACTTGCAAAAGTTGATCAAATATAAATCTGCGTTTATTTATAATTGAAATGTCAATTGTTAAGTTCATTATGTATATATTCAGTCATACATTATATAAACCCTAACAAACCAATTCTGCGTAACTATAAATTCTTAAACATGATAGCTTCGTCACTTACACTGGAAGGCGATATGAAGAGAAAAATTCCAAGACAGATAGACTCGGTATTGTGTTGTTATTGCATGAAATCTGATTGTCATGTTGATAAATTCAGACCGATACATACTTACCCAAGAGTTATATAATGTAATCTTTACACCCTATCATCCTTCGACATTATATTGTTGTCAAAATACAACCAGGAATATTTGTTACGGATTGTCTATATTATATTATGATATGAAATAATTAAATGCTGGTTTTACCAACACATTGCCCATCCTTAGCTTTATCTGTCTGAAATAAGGCATTTCATTTACGATTCATGGTATTTCGATACAAACATAATAATATGAGCCGCGTCACGACAAAACCAACATGGTGCGTTTGCGACCAGCATGGATCCAGACCAGCCTGAGCCTCCGCGTAGTCTGATCAGGATCCATGCTGTTTTGTCATGACGCGGTTCATATTAAACAGCCTCTACATGAAAAAGAGTATTTTTCTGTCGGTGAGTGCAAAACCTATTAAAATGTTTTAAGGTGTTTCGGTTATATCAGCTCTTTACAATCTAATTCAGTTATCAATTTTTATCTCAATTATCATCACAATTTGATATTTTTAACAGCGCAGTTGAATACATGTTGTATGCACAATCAAATGTTTAAAAGGTAATTTCCAACTTTCACCGACAAAGGATGATAGAATGGCAAAAAACTTCATATTAAAAGGATTTTTACTTTTACAACTTGTTCAGGTAAAGAAAATGAATGTGTTTTTAGAATAAAGATAATCTTAAAACCAGTTAGCGATGAAAGAACAAACTGACAGCTAAGTTACACAGACATTCATGAACACGAACCTCTCAATGACAATAAAAGTTCAAACGCTATATATAAATTACATGTCTAATAATAAAACGTAAGACAATTATAATCGGATACAAAATTATCTTATCAATCAATATTTTATTGGAACCTTTATAATAACAATATGTTTTTAAAATTACTTTATAGTCATTTCATGTTTACTTGTAGGCAATAAATGCGGATGGTCACGTAAATATCCAAGTACAAATTTTACAATATGACAATCCACTGGGGACATCATTCCATGGTATGGACATAAATTCACAAAGAAAATGTTGTGATAGAGGGACTATCCCTACATGTAGCACAACTGATACTTGTGACTCTATCTATGTGTTTTGCATTGGCGGGTAAGACTTCTACCATTTCTTTAGAATAAACAAACTAATTAATTTGAAATATTGTGTCAAAAACAAATATGCCTTTTTGTCATGTACATAAAGTTATTTCCCTATTCCTTATTCTTTTTTCGAATAAGGAATCAGTTCCTTATTCCTTTTTCGAATAAGGAATAGGGAACTAGTTCCTGATTCCTTATTCAAATCTAAATAAGGAACAACAGAATTAGTGTTTATTTAAAATAAAATTTATACCTCATTCAAATCATTGCATAAAGAATCTGCATGAATTATTTTGAAAAAAATGTTAAAAGTCGAATAAGGAATAGGGAACCAGTTCCTTATTCCTTATTCAACTTCGAATAAGGAACAGAAGAAAATACGTAAAGAAAGACACCAGTTGCAATTATTTTTGATGAAATGAATCTGTATTAGAATTGCAAGGATCAATAATAAAAATCATGAAATAAAGCATCTGCATAAAAATATTTTTGAAAAAAATGTTAAAGTCGAATAAGGAATAGGGAACCAGTTCCCTATTCCTTATTCAACTCCGAATAAGGAACAGAAGGAAATACGTGAAGCAAGACACCAGTTGCAGTTATTTTTGATAAATCTGCATAAGAATTGCAAGGATCAATCATTAAAATCATGAAATAAAGCATTTACATAATTATATTTGAAAGAAATGTTAAAGTCTAATAAGGAATAGGGAACCAGTTCCTTATTCCTTATTGAACTCCGAATAAGGAACAGAAGGAAATACGTAAAGAAAGACAGCAGTTGCATTTATTTTTGATAAATATGCATAAGAAATGCAAGAATCAATCATTAAAATCATGACATAAAGCATCAACATAATTTTTTTTGAAAAAAAAAATGTTAAAGTCGAATAAGGAATAGGGAACCAGTTCCTTATTCCTTATTCAACTCCGAATTAGGAACAGAAGGAAATACGTAAAGAAAGACACCAGTTGCAGTTATTTTTGATAAATCTGCCTTAGAATTGCAAGGATCAATCATAAAAATCATGAAATAAAGCATAAGCATAAAAATATTTTGGAAACAAAATGTTCAGGTTCATTCGACTCCGAATAAGGAACAGAAGTAATTACGTAAAGAAAAACAGCAGTTGCAATTATTTTTGATAAATCTGCATTAGAAATACATGGATCAATCATTAAAATCATGAAATAAAGCATCTACATAATTTTTTTTTTGAAAAAAATGTTAAAGTCGAATAAGGAATAGGGAACCAGTTCTTTATTCCTTATTCAATTCCGAATAAGGAACAGAAGGAAATACGTAAAGAAAGACCCCAGTTGCATTTCTAAAAATATAACTGCAACTAATGCAGATTTATCAATAATAATTGCAACTGCTGTCTTTCTTTACGTAATTACTTCTGTTCCTTATTCGGAGTCGAATGAACCTGACCTTTTTTTTTCCAAAATATTTTTATGCTTATGCTTTATTTCATGATTTTTATGATTGATCCTTGCAATTCTAATGCAGATTTACCAAAAATAACTGCAACTGGTGTCTTTCTTTACGTAATTCCTTCTGTTCCTTATTCGCAGTTGAATAAGGAATAAGGAACTGGTTCCCTATTCCATATTCGACTTTAACATTTTTTTCAATTTTTTTTTTGTAGATGCTTTATTTCATGGTTTGAATGATTGATTCTTGCAATTCTTATGCATATTTATCAAAAATAAATCTGCATAAGAATTGCAAGGATCAATCATTAAAATCATGAAATAAAGCATTTACATAATTATATTTGAAAGAAATGTTAAAGTCTAATAAGGAATAGGGAACCAGTTCCTTATTCCTTATTGAACTCCGAATAAGGAACAGAAGGAAATACGTAAAGAAAGACAGCAGTTGCATTTATTTTTGATAAATATGCATAAGAAATGCAAGAATCAATCATTAAAATCATGACATAAAGCATCAACATAATTTTTTTTGAAAAAAAAAATGTTAAAGTCGAATAAGGAATAGGGAACCAGTTCCTTATTCCTTATTCAACTCCGAATTAGGAACAGAAGGAAATACGTAAAGAAAGACACCAGTTGCAGTTATTTTTGATAAATCTGCCTTAGAATTGCAAGGATCAATCATAAAAATCATGAAATAAAGCATAAGCATAAAAATATTTTGGAAACAAAATGTTCAGGTTCATTCGACTCCGAATAAGGAACAGAAGTAATTACGTAAAGAAAAACAGCAGTTGCAATTATTTTTGATAAATCTGCATTAGAAATACATGGATCAATCATTAAAATCATGAAATAAAGCATCTACATAATTTTTTTTTTTGAAAAAAATGTTAAAGTCGAATAAGGAATAGGGAACCAGTTCTTTATTCCTTATTCAATTCCGAATAAGGAACAGAAGGAAATACGTAAAGAAAGACCCCAGTTGCATTTCTAAAAATATAACTGCAACTAATGCAGATTTATCAATAATAATTGCAACTGCTGTCTTTCTTTACGTAATTACTTCTGTTCCTTATTCGGAGTCGAATGAACCTGACCTTTTTTTTTCCAAAATATTTTTATGCTTATGCTTTATTTCATGATTTTTATGATTGATCCTTGCAATTCTAATGCAGATTTACCAAAAATAACTGCAACTGGTGTCTTTCTTTACGTAATTCCTTCTGTTCCTTATTCGCAGTTGAATAAGGAATAAGGAACTGGTTCCCTATTCCATATTCGACTTTAACATTTTTTTCAATTTTTTTTTTGTAGATGCTTTATTTCATGGTTTGAATGATTGATTCTTGCAATTCTTATGCATATTTATCAAAAATAAATGCAACTGCTGTCTTTCTTTACGTAATTACTTCTGTTCCTTATTCGGAGTTGAATAAGGAATAAGGAACTGGTTCCCTATTCCTTATTCGATTTTAACATTTTTTTCAAAAAAAATTATGTAGATGCATTATTTCATGATTTTAATGATTGATCCTTGCAATTCGTATGCAGATTTATCAAAAATAACTGTAACTGCTGTCTTTCTTTACGTATTTCCTTCTGTTCCTTATTCGGAGTTGAATAAGGAATAAGGAACTGGTTCCCTATTCCTTATTCGACTTTAACATTTTGTTCAAAAAGAAATTATGTTATTCCTTTATTTCATGATTTTAATGATTGATCCTTGCAATTCTTATGCAGATTTATCTAAAATAACTTCAACTGGTGTCTTTCTTTACGTATTTTCTTCAGTTCCTTATTCGGATTTGAATAAGGAATAAGGAACTGGTTCCCTATTCCTTATTCGACTTTAACATTTTTTTTAAATTATGAAGATGCTTTATTTCATGATTTTAATGATTGATCCTTGCCATCCTTATGCAGATTGATCAAAAATAACTGCAACTGCTGTCTTTCTTTACATATTTTCTTCTGTTCCTTATTCGGAGTTGAATAAGAAATCAGGAACTGGTTCCCTATTCCTTATTCGACTTTAACATTTTTTTCCAAAAAAAATTATGTAGATGCTTTATTTCATGATTCTAATGATTGATTCTTGCAATTCTTATGCAGATTTATCAAAAATAACTGCAACTGGTGTCATTCTTTACGTATTTCCTTCTGTTCCTTATTCGGAGTTGAATAAGGAATAAGGAACTGGTTCCCTATTCCATATTCGACTTTAACATTTTTTTCAAAAAGAAATTATGTAGATGCTTTATTTCATGATTTTAATGATTGATCCTTGCAATTGTTATGCAGATTTATCACAAATAACTGCAACTGCTGTCTTTCTTTACGTAATTACTTCTGTTCCTTATTCGGAGTCGAATGAACCTGAACAATATTTTTTTCCAAAATATTTTTATGCAGATGCTTTATTTCATGATTTTTATGATTGATCCTTGCAATTCTAATGCATATTTATCAAAAATAACTGCAACTGGTGTCTTTCTTTACGTATTTCCTTCTGTTCCTTATTCGGAGTTGAATAAAGAATAAGGAACTGGTTCCCTATTCCTTATTCGACTTTAACATTTTTTTCCAAAAAAAATTATGTAGATGCTTTATTTCATGATTCTAATGATTGATTCTTGCAATTCTTATGCATATTTATCAAAAATAACTGCAACTGGTGTCATTCTTTACGTATTTCCTTCTGTTCCTTATTCGGAGTTGAATAAGGAATAAGGAACTGGTTCCCTATTCCATATTCGACTTTAACATTTTTTTCAAAAAGAAATTATGTAAATGCTTTATTTCATGATTTTAATGATTGATTCTTGCAATTCTAATGCAGATTTATCAAAAATAACTGCAACTGGTGTCTTTCTTTACGTATTTTCTTCTGTTCCTTATTCGGAGTCGAATGAACCTGAACATATTTTTTCAAAAATAGTTTTATGCAGATGCTTTATTTCATGATTTTTTATGATTGATCCTTGCAATTCTAATGCAGATTTATCAAAAATAATTGCAACTGGTGACTTTTCTTTACGTATTTACTTCTGTTCCTTATTCGGAGTTGAATAAGGAATAAGGAACTGGTTCCCTATACCTTATTCGATTTTTTTTTCAAAATAATTTATGCAGATTCTTTATGCAGTGATTTGAATGAGGTATAAATTTTTTTTTAAATAAATACTTATTCTGCTGTTCCTTATTTAGATTTGAATAAGGAATCAGGAACTAGTTCCCTATTCCTTATTCGAAAAAGGAATAAGGAACTGATTCCTTATTCATTATTCGAAAAAGGAATAAGGAATAAGGAATAGGGAACTAACTTTATGTACATCTTTTTGTCTTTGTTCATCGTGCAAGAAAAATTTAGAGATTTCAAAAAAGAAAAGATTATTTAACATTTTAGTTTAGTTGAGATATAAAATCAAGTTCATGTTAAAAGTAAAGCAAGTTTATCGTTTACATCATAATTATGTCTAGTTGTCTATCAAAGTTTAGATGTTGTCATGTTCAATGAACTGAGAGAAATCAATAATTTGATTTAGTGAAAACATACATGTATGCTTTTAACAGTTTCAGAAGTGGAAGATGCATAGGTCCAAATATAACAACAAGTGTTCTCAACAACAAAGCCTCGTTCGGGACTTCCTTTGACAACACTGTTATACATTCTATAACATGGGATCATTGGCAATCGGTATGGTATTTTACTCATATTTTTTTTCTTTTTACTATTCTGATATAATCTCTGCGTTTGTTTTATTTAATTCAGTTCCTTATTATCATGAAACAAATATTTTTCTTCACACAGAGTTCTCTAGAATATGTTGCAAATGTTATGGACAAAGATGGTCAGAATAACGAGCTTGTTGATACTTTTACATCCACTATTGCTTTACGTTCTGATACCGACTATGAAAGTTCATTTCCCCAAGTGTTGTCATTTAAAAGATATGTCAGGTATAACAATTTTTCTTGGTTTTCAGAAAAAAAAATTGTTAATTCTCATGCAGTATGAACGTATCTTTTGAGTTACATGTATTTTATCATTGAAATCTGTTCCCAAGGGATTCGCTTTTTAAATCTTTCTTGATTGGTTGTGTTTGTTTGTTTGATTGATTGGGTTTTACGTCACACCGACACAGTATAGGTCATATGGCGACGTTTCTGGATTACTGGTGGAGGAAGACCTCAGGTGTTCTTCCCTGCTTTATTTCAGGCACGAACGGGCACCTGAGTAGAACCATCGACGTTCCGGAAGCTAGCTGGATAGGTTCCTCACTTGAAAGAATCTAAAATCTCTGTCGGGATTCGAACACTCAGCGGTGAGCGGCAAGTGGTTTGAAGTCAACGACTACTCGACCACGGACGCCCCTTTCTTGATTGGTATCTATAATTTTCAATGAGTATTTTACGTAATATTGATACACCAAAAATCGATCATCCCGGTATTTTAAGTCTGCTGAATTACCATCGTAATCTTTATTGGTACATTTAAACTCCCATTTTTAATTCTGAATACGTAAAGACGTGTTCTTGTATATTTTTACATTATGTATAAAGTCTAGATGTCGCTATACGGATATGGTGTCAAGACGGGTACTATGGTCCTGACTGTAGCAGGAAATGTAATCAACAATATAGTATTTGTACAAAGAATAACGGGCAAACTTTACTACAGTCTTGTAGCAGAAATGGTAAGCAAAAACAGACAAGCTCTTTTCAAACAAATTTAACCTCGTTTATTTTAAACTATCACATTCTTGGCGAGTTTAATGAAATATGCATCATATAATGTCTGAGAAACAAAATACAATGTGATAATTAAAAATATTACTTAAGTTATCTAAAACAGATCTGAAAAATTCCTTACATTAAGCACATTATGCACAAATTTTGAATTATTGAAAAGCTATGAGGATGTTATATCTTAATAAACACATTTTATGTCGTATTTTGCCTAATGGAACGAACGGGGTCATGAACGGTTTATTATTATCAGCCTCTTCTCTGAAATCATTGTGAAACATGCCAGTGAACCGGCGAATTAAAGAGTCTGCAGCATTTGCCGTGTTGGTCGAACTATTATTCCTTAAAATCAATAAGTATAAAGTATAAATTACATGTTCTACTAGTATGAATATTGACATCTGTCAAAATATGCAAGAGACAATGTATTTAAGTATTTTGCAAGAGCATTCTGCAGCAACTAGGAAATATGAATTCTTTCTTTTTATACATACGTGCATTTTGACAAATATGCTACTATTTATAAACCTAAGCCATTCTTGGAGCCATAATTGAAGCAAGATGTAATCAATTACAATATTAGAAGCGAAAAACGACAATTCTCTCATGATATAAAAAAGTATACTTTTTAATGCATTACCATCTGTTGGCTGTTAAGACACATGTGTAAAACTAGTAAATATTTGTGTATTTGTAATTTTAAAAGTAGAGTTATATGTACTGGCAATTGCACTGCTGTTAGTAAAGTATAATTTATATATATTTAAGATGTTTCAACATATAAACTTAAACCTGGATTTCACGTACCTGAGAATTTTACTCCTCCGTACATACGACAGCTTTTATCACAGTTTTTTCTCCGTGAAATTTGTTTAGATGCACACGAGGTGAATGTTGAACTTTTACGTTTTAATATGGAATGGTATGCAATTCATTTTTTCTTACTGTATTGTTTTTCAGTATAAATAACTCTAATGAATAAATCTAATACATTTTGATCACATATATTAAGACAAAGCTATATTTCCCCCTTGTGGTTGAGGGGTTGCGTTATCGTAAGAAGCAACTAATGAGTTAGAATTTCTGGAGTCAATGCATCTCTTAGCTCCAGCATATGAAGTTGTTTTGGCACCTATTGTTGCTAAAGCTTGCCAAAACTCGAGGTTAGCCAGTCATCTTTCCTGCTCGGCGCCATGTGACCTAAATTGTCTTAGTGCTCCAAGACAAAACAAAACAAAAACAAAACTGTATTTAATGGAATATAATTGTTTTCAGTCATCAATTTCATGATACGTAATGATTAAGTAAAAAAACAACTTTTTATGACTTGTTTATCAATTTATTTTAATTATTTGTATAATTAACAATTCATATTAATTATGAATATATTTACTAAAGATAACACTTTATATACATAGTCAGTTTTTAATTGCATTGGCTATGCATCTATTAAACAAAGCAGTCATTTTATAATTTAAACAATATCAATTTAATAATTTCAGGACATTAGAATTTAAAGCAGAGTGTGATAACAAAACTATAAGCAGCTTACTGTTCAATACACATATCTATATACTGAGCCTAACGAATAAAGCAGCTTTGGGGAGATATTTTCCAAACATTCCTTTACTTGTTCCAACAGTTCATCAACAACTAGCAAGAGGGGTAATGCTCACCATTTCAATAAATAAGATCAAAATTAACATCAACATGTTAGGAAAAGAGCTCTATAAGCATTGTATGCTTTTGAGTCTAATCCTTTTTCAGCATTGTATATTATGTAACTAATGATTGTATGTAATAAATGTTTGTGTGAAAATGTTTGAAATAAAATATGTATAAACTAAAATTAACAGCCTTGGTAGTGAACATATTAGATAATTCACTGCCTCAAGAATAAGATAACAATTAGTTATATTGAATATCCAAAACATAAAACATACTATTCATTTTCATTCATGCTTTTCATTCATAGTGATGATTAATGTAAATATTAATACATGTTTTTAACTATTTTCAAAACTCTGACTATATTTTCAAATTTTGAAGGTTTCTAAATAGTTTTTTAAATAGTAAATAGTAAATTTAAATGATATATATACTTGTATTTCAGGCGATGATATTTGTTATGTTGAGACCGATACATTATCATGATCCCTCAACGTCATGTGGACACAATGGCTGCAATGTACATATACAAGTTTGCTTGAAAGCAAACACTTTAATGGGTGAGAATAAAACAATAATTTGATTTTAATGTGATAGCTTCGTAAAGCCGTATGAATATGAGTTATAGAGAAACTAACTCTGAAAAATTATAGTAACAAGATTGTGCATGTATTAGGGGGACTCCACTGAGCTATTTTGACATGACAGGACTGGAAATAATTTTTCGAGATTATTACCCCATTAGATGTAGGTATGTCTAAACCAACAACTTATGTGCATCTCCTAAATAATTATTCTAATTCTGAAAAAGAAATGACCCAAAATTGAAAAGCGTTGCAACGCTTTTCACTCAATCGGACTGAGAATAGCACAAACATGTGCCTGTCAAAGTACGTCTTAGTAAGGTTCCTTTATTACCTTTTATATACCTTTCTGTTTTAAGTACCCAAGTTAATCTCTGTGATATATTAAAATTTTATGTTTGTTAGGTTGGAGATCCATTAAGAAATGAATTTGTATAGAATTACCAGTTCTGTAAAAGATATTGATTTATAATGATAAAACTCCTTCTCTTATGTCGAACTTAACTGGCCAAACGATATATATACTGGATATAACTTATGATATTATTCTAGCATTATATGAAAAGAAAACATATTTCAAACGGAAAATATCAGTAAAAATGCGTTATTATTGTTGACTTAAAAATAATTATTAACGAGGGAGAAAATAAACAGCCACATATACATGTAGTCCCTAACCAGTGGTTATTGGCAGTTTATCACCGATTTTTTCTTCTTTGTGTATAGTAGCAAAATCACGATAATATGTACACTTATATGAGGATTTTGAGTCAGTATGACCTTGATCTTGTCCCGAGGAAGCAAAAATCTGTGGTCTGCACATTTTCTCATTATGGTTAAAATTTCTGCCAAGCAATTTAAATGTCCTTCCACTGGTTTAAAAAAATACAGACAGGACACGAAATCTGCCAAAAGACGGATGGGTGGACGCCCAGATGCAGTACAATATGCGACGAAATCTTTTGGTCGTATAAAGAGCATTACCCTGGTGTAACAAAATGGCTCTACCCATGAGCGTGGGGGAGGCACTAAAATCACATGTACATAAACATGTCTTGAAAGTCTTCCTGTAAACGCACAATGTGCAGAGCATAGATATTTGGCTCACTGCATAACTCCATTGGGCTATGTAAAGGGAGGTTATAAAGAAAAGAAAATTAATTAATTGGATATAATTTTTATTTTTGTTAAACTATTTAAAGTACTGGTATTATATTATGGGTACGTTTCTTTGATCATAATCATTCAAAAACAAACATTATGGCTGTTTAAAGTTACTTTTATATATAAATGTACAAACATACCTTATCCGAAAATCCATCCGGTAAACTCACTTGGTGGAACGAACGTTGAACTGTAAATCGGGCAATCCGGGTTCGATTCCCGGACTCTGCAGGTTATTAACACTTGACCTGACCTGTACTCTGGGATGCACAAAAGTAATAACAGGTCAAGGCAAAAAGTAAAAACATCTAGTACTGGTTAACTGCTTGACAGCCTGTCCAGAATTTATGCGATGGCAGAAATGTGCTCTGGTAAATTAAAAGTGGCTTTGTGCCATGTGAAGGCTGTAAAAAGTCGCCCCGTACATTCAATCAGAAATGTTTTATTTCCGATCCTAAAAGATCGTTCAGCACAACATTATTGTTGTTAGTAGTATCTTTAGTTTTAACTATTTAGCATATTCTAGTTGGGTTGTTCCAATATTCCTACTTGAATAATATTGAATCACCCTTAGGATATGTTGCCTGTTTTTCAACTTTGTCTTTTGACGTTTAATCTGTGATATACAGGCTTCATAACCTCTGACCCACTTTTAAAATTCCATTTTTGTTTAGTTCCGCCAATTGTTTTCTCGTTTCCAATTACGGTTGGGGACCATACGCCGCTTTTCATGGAATGGCACGAAAGTGCCACATTGAAGATTGCATCATTACCGCCGTATAAACACATCTGCGGATGTGTCTAAATTAAAAAATTACCATTTCATGCTAAAATACATTTATTGAATTCTGCTTCAGCCGGTGCTGGGGGCGTTCAGGGTAGTTTGCACTTGAACAGGCTCAATCAAACTGAGCCTGCAACATTTTCAATTTTACCGTTTTGGGCTTTTTTTAGGGATACATATTTTTTATTTTACTGCCGTGATCCGGAAGGTAAACTTCAGAAACCAGAATCACTATCTTGTCCATAAGCATATATAAGTATCTCATATTTAGGTCTTAGTCACTTAGGATGTATCAATATAGATTTAAAGTTAAATGAAATAACCATGCACTTATGTTTATAAATGTCATTGGCGACATACATTATCATAATAATCAACAAACAAAACATGTTCCAAGTGTAAAGAATGTGTTGCTTTTGTATTCGACGTAAATTGTCCCACTAATGCGATGTTCTTGTTTCTCAAATTGTGTTGAAGCACTTGTCAAGAAACAGTTTCGATGCAATCGAGGTTAATAACAACAAATCTTACAATATGTGATGGAGTTCTTGTTGACTCGATGCCGACAAACCAAGGATACAATTTGCTAGGTGTTACATCATGGCCGGTATATATTATTTATTTATCTATTATTTCACAATAACAGCTTTATTTAATCGCAAATGTACATGCATATATTTTTCTTAAAATTTGGGAAGAGATGATTAAATGTATCTTTTCGTAAAGAATATACGAGTATGTTTGGCTAATATATGTAATATTGTACTAATATGGACTCTTTAGCTGCTGGTGAATATGATATGATATGTACCGAAAATTGACTGAGGCGATAGCCATTTCAATAATAAGTTTCAGTAAATATCACATCATATTCACCAGCTAAAAAGTACATATCTTTTTATTATTTAATTTATAATCGCTTGTATAAAGGGTATCTTAACTGCCATTGAATACGACGGAAATCAACATTTTCTTTCAGCTCGTCTACTTTTATTTTATTTTAATGAGCGCATTGGTACGATAAATTCGAAATCTTCTTAAAAATGTAAAGACGTCTAGTTTGACCAATTATTTTTGTTAATGATCAATATTAGTTTGTGTCCAATCAAATTGGTTTACAGCCAAAATATGTAATCATTGTATCCTTAATGTCAAGATTGTTACTGCAGTTCATTCCTATCAACTGAAAGAAAATATTTTTTGATTACTTTTTCTTGAAAATATAAAGTTAAAACAGTCAGCAATTCATAACAGACATTTTTCTTAGTTAAAAGGATATAAAAAAGTTACTATGTAATTATTTATCTCTGCGTGTCCCACGTGTATTATCTATGTAATAAATCAATTGATTGTATCCTCACTTTAGAAAGCCTAATTTTTTTTAACGTTGGCATTGTTTTGCTAACCTATATATTTTACAATTCAGAGTGCAAACCACACTTCTAACTTCACCCTAATATAATGCATTATTGAAATTTGTTAGACTGGTAAGACGGCAGATTAAGTAAATTTTATTTAGTTAGTATACATTAACCAAAGTTAGATTTAGCAGAAATTTGAAAAATACTACAATGTGATTTGGACAAAAAATAATGTTGATCATTAAGGTCAACAAGGAAAGGCGGCGTTCAATTAACGCAACCACAAAACGACCCAGCAACAAAAAACAGGCGACAAGGAGCCCCCGAGGACCCCAAACAAAAATAGGACAGGGCTCAAGGCAGATCACTGACAGGATAATCACATAAATGATACTTAAAAAGAAATAATAGTAACCGCGATAAGGAAATTAAAATAGAAATAATTAATTGATTAATAGGTCCACAAAGTAAAAGGGCACAGGGGAAAGGGACTCGAAATTCGGGGAAGGAGGGGCAAAAAAAAACAACAACAAAAACAAACAAAAATAAAACTAGGGGCAGAAAGGAAGATATTAGGGGCACCGATTTGACACGGTCAGCAGTATAGACACTGCTGAGGAGTTTAAGTCGGTAAATGGTGCACCAATGCTCACTCTAAGCCCCATCATGTTCCTATAAACGAGACAATGTAAATAAAATGAATCTTCGCCGAGTGAAATTCTAACAGTTGTTATGGTTACAAAAGGTGATATAAGTAAAACACCAACTTGATCATGTAGAAACTACGTGTAGAATCCTTATGATTCTTTTTCCATTTTTCTAAGGTACACTATGCAAATAAAGCTTTAGTTCAACCGAGTATTTTATTTTAAAAGATACTTCTTGTAAATAAACTGCTCTACAGACCAAAAGATTGGCCGACATTTGCAAAACAATATACTAATACCCCTGTCTTCGAAAGAGGCATAATCCTAATACTAGTTTAAGATTATTTTATTTTGTGATCACTTAATTGTATATTGATATAATAAAATAAATCAGGAAAATGTTCCTTTTAAAAGAAAATCTAGTAATAAGGCTATTTTACTTTTCTTTTTTTTTAATATTTAACATCCATGTGAATCATTTTTATTACTTTTCTTATTGCCAAACTATGACAATAAGATTTGCGGTTTGTACATAAACACAGCAACACATCAGTATGGTCTTAAGTATATGTATATATATGTACTGCATTATGTATAAACATGTACTAATCTACTGCGACCAATGTTGATCATTGTAGTGCATCAATCAACAAATGTGCAAAAGAATACATACAAAATGATCTGAATGTTATTTCATGCTTTATATTAAGGTATAAACATAGCTTAAGTGATAAAATACAGTAGAACTTCTATGAGTCGAACTTCGATTAGTCGATTTTCTCGATGTGTCGAAGTAAAATGAAAGTCCCGATTTTTTTCCGTTATATATTCCTTATAACAACCTATTGATGAGTCGAGATTTTATGTGTCGAGTTTTTCGATGTGTCGAAGTTTTTTCGTGGTCCGTATAGAATAAATCTAGTACAATTTACCAAACATAAGTCGAAGTTCTTCGGTTATTTTGACACCTTCGACCTCGAGACATTTTCACACCTTTTCTGGTCGCAAAGACAATTTCCGATCAACTTTTTAGCGACAGGTGTTAATTACACAGTCGAGTGTTCCAAACAGCCTTTGTATGCGTTTAAATGTGTGAAAAAATGCTTTAATCATTACTATTTTAATTGCCGTAGCGGTATTTGAAAGTACATGTAAACAGTAAGAACATTTTTTTTGAGTTCTTCCGTGACCCGGTGTCGCGTGATAATCACACGCGAAATATTTACTATAAGCTGGTTAAGTTATTGCCCTTTCGTATTGTTAAGCCTTTTGTAACTTCATTGTATACGTCAACAGGGAGTCCAAATCATTAGCCGTGAAAAGTTACTTAACATGTCATATTTATCATTGTATAATGTGAAATATCAGATTAATGAATGAAAGAAAAACATGAAATTGGTTACGTTATATATCTTATAATATATATCTTATAATTAGGGCTAGTCACGGGTGGAAACTTGTCATGAAATTCAGACCGATTCATGAGTCGAAGTCCCGATGTGTCGAAGTTTTTACGCAAGTCCCTCCAACTTCGACTTACCGAAGTTCTACTGTATATCCTTTTTATTAAATAACTACTAAATTAAGTTGATATGTTTTTTATTGTTCTGTTTCTCGATGCTAAAATGAGTCTTTCCTCGTGCTCTTTTAAATTACAGGTTTTCCAAGTGACAGTACAATACAGTGCACACAACATTAAATTTGAAAATCAACAACACCTGCCGGCAACATATAAAGCAGCAGCCCTCTATAACAAAGCAAAACCACTTCAAATGACGTTCACGTCCGGTGACAAAACGTAATGAACGTACAATTTTTTACATTTGATTTATTGTACAAGACAATAAAAATTTCTATACAAATATATTATAACTATAATTTTTAGTTATTTGATGTAATACCTAAGTGTTGATTTTAATCTTCAATAACATGGCTTTTTTCGTACAATGTAGGGCAATGGTCTTTTTTATTTTATGAATTCTGTATCTTGTCAACTAATAATGAAGTAATCCTCTTTAGTTGTGTCTACATACATTTGTAAAAAAACCTTCGTTGTGTCTACATACTTTTGTTAAACAAAACCTTCATTGTCTTTATATGCATTTGTAAAAAAAATCCTCATTGTGTCTACATGCATTTGTAAATAAACCTTCATTGTGTCTACATACATTTGTTAAACAAAACCTTCATTGTCTCTGCATGCATTTGTTAAACAAAACCTTCATTGTGTCTACATGCATTTGTAAAAAAAACCTTCATTGTGTCTACATGCATTTGTAAAAAACCTTCGTTGTGTAAACATGCATTTGTAAAAAACCTGCGTTGTGTTTACATACATTTGTTAAAAAAAAAACTTCATTGTCTCTACATGCATTTGTACAAAACCTTCGTTGTGTCTACATGCATTTGTAAAAAAACCTTCGTTATGTAAACATGCATTTGTAAAAACCTTCGTTGTGTAAACATGCATTTGTAAAAAACCTTCGTTGTGTCTACATACATTTGTTAAACAAAACCTTCATTGTCTCTACATGCATTTGTAAAAAAAACCTTCATTGTGTCTACATGCATTTGTAAAAAAAACCTTCATTGTGTCTACATGCATTTGTAAAAAACCTTTGTTGTGTCTACCTACATTTGTTAAACAAAACCTTCATTGTCTCTACATACATTTGTTAAACAAAACCTTCATTGTCTCTACATGCATTTGTAAAAAAAAACCTTCATTGTGTAAACATGCATTTGTAAAAAACCTTCGTTGTGTCTACATACATTTGTTTAAAAAACCTTAGTTGTGTCTACATACATTTGTTTAAAAAAAAACCTTCGTTGGGTCTACATACATTTGTCAATAACCCTTGTTGTGTCTACATGCATTGTACAAAACCTTCCTTGTGCCAACATTTATTATGTCTTTGCCGATCTATCACTTGAACTGTTTTATTTAAAGTTTAGTTCTAGAAGCAATGATTTGGTGTGACACTCATCATTCTGGCAATCATTGTCAACATAGTTGTATTGCAACAGGAAATAAAATATGTGACGAGAATGGACACTTGGTTTGCAAGACAGGTAAACTTGAGACATTATTAATGATTGCGATGATTGTTTAAGCAGTGATGAAGGTTTAGTTGCTCTGACGCTGCTTTTTTCGTCCGTCTGTGAACGATTTGACATATTGTAAAATATACAGGGGGAACCTGAACATAAGTAGGATGTCCTTTGGTCATTTAAAAATTACAAACTGAAATCTAACTTGCCATTTAAAAAAATAATGTAAAGGATATATACATTCCTAAATAACTTAAAGGAGTTTCGAAAACAATTTTTCTAGTTTGATTTTTTTCGGATATTAATTTGTGCTTCCTCCCATTCAACATTTTACAAAAGTTCACAATGCTTCTAAAATTGCATTAAATTTGTAGCGTATAAGGCTTTTTTCTTAATAACGGGACCACCAATATCGCTTCCAATCTCGGAAACTCACGCGCATGAAAATACCGTAAGACACCACTTAAAAACTCATAACGTTCCTGGTACTCTCAGTAGATTACATGTATGTTCATAGTTCATGGTATTATATGATTATTGATATGTACAATTGATTTAAATTTCATGATTCTAATACATAGAGAATATTGAATGAGTGTAAGTTTAATACTGTATTTATTGAACGAGTTGAATAAAATATACCATGCGAGCCTCTGGCGAATTTAATATTCTATTTATCACATACCAAAAATGAAGACCGTTTGAAGTGATAAAGAAACGTTTTTCATTGAAGCGCCTATAGTATAACGCTTACATTAATTTAAGCGCGTCATAACTCTGACGCACTGACTGTATAACACACTCACGCACGTACCCACGAAAACACACAGAGCGATCAACTAATGACTTAACCATTATGTAACTAACGCGTAAAGTATATAGTTGACCATTTACTTCTATCCTATAATATGGCAAATAACCACTGGTTACACAATGCTAAAAATATATATATATATATTGTAGATAAATGATAAGTATAATGTTAATCCATTAACAAACTGTCAAAAACTAAATAAAAAAAGGTAAGTGAAAACGCGTTACGTAAGGAACTGATTTCATATAACATTGACCTATTGAAATTAAACAAATAGTGGCAATTGTGAACACTATTATTTGTCCATATTAGAGTTTTATCTAATGATAGTTACTCAACACATTTAGCACAACATGATAATCAAATGTGGTTTAGTTACTTAACGCATTAGTCGTATTAGAAATGCAAAAACATATAACTTCCCCTTTGAAATTCAATTTTCGATTTTTGCTTATTGTTTGCTTATTTAAGGCACATGCATTCTTAATGCTTACATTATATGTACATGTATTATATATCGAAACTGTATCTCTTTTAATAACACAGTTTTTTTTCCTTAGATTAATTGTTATGTAGAAAAATTTTGATAAATGAATTGGTGTGCCTTTTCTCTGAAATAAGTACTGCATATTGCAATTGACAATTCTCATTTACAGATCTTATTCAGAAGCAATAGTCATAAATCAACTTCCATTTTGTTAGCATGATAGTATCTCAGTTTGTGTGTTGATTTATCTCATGTTCACTATATTTATAATAAATCTAAATTCACAGGTTACCATGGAAATACCTGCATTGATATAAATGAATGTCAGGGTTTAAATCCTTGCAAAAATGGCGGGACATGTCATAATACCCAAGGATCATTCACTTGTCAATGTCTCAAAAGCTGGACTGGACGTTTATGTGACGTTGATGTTGATGAATGTTCTTTACAACTTTGTACAAATGCCACAACTTGTATGAACACTCCTGGATTATTTCACTGCCTATGTGAACATGGATTTCGTGGACGTTATTGCATAGATACTGACGAATGTAAACTCCCAATAAAGCTTTGTCAACACAACAGCACATGTTTGAACACATATGGTTCCTATTCATGCATATGCTCTGTAGGTTATTTAGGAAACAGATGTGAGCAATGCCAAGTATGAAAATAAATTCACTAAAATGTTTTTGTTTAACCACAAACGTGTTCTAAATAGGTTGTTGTTTTGTACTTTGAATTACATGGAGTTTGATAAGAAAAAAAAT